CCATTTTTTATTACTGAATTATGATTACTCCAAGAGCCACAGGCCCGAGCCTCAGTGCTAGGAGCTGGACCTGTTCGTAGACTCTTTGCAGTGTCCCAAACATAACATGCCTTTTTGCTTCATCCTGCCCAGGGAACGAACCACCCAGTTAAACCAGCTCGTGCTGGGATGCTGCAGGTCATCCCAGCTACTGAGCACTAAGCAAAACAGTCCCGTGGACATAACTAACAGCACAGTTCACCTCTGTAGATGGGACGGGCCTGACAGGCCTAATGAGGTACATATGCAAGAAAATTAAAAAAGACCATAACACCCCATTGGGTTTTGTCCTTGCCTTTCCTGACTGCTTTCACCCTACACAAGCTGTGTGCGTGGCAGCAGCAATCATCTTTAATGATCCCTCTCGCTGCAGAATCTTGGCGCAGTCACGAAGAAGAGGGAATAGAGGATGTGGTGAAATGCACCTGAAGTAGCGCGCAGTAGCTTGAAACTGTCTGTAGGCTTTGCAAGATCGAGAGGAGAGCACAAGACGGGGGGGGGGGGGGGGGGAGACAGGCTCCCGCGGGCAGGGGAAAGCTGTCCGAGCAAGACAGCCAGTCAGTCACCTGCAGCCTCGGACGGAGGTAGCGACGGCGGGGATCGCGGTGGGCAAAGTTGGGGTTGGGGGGTTCCTGAGACAGGGGAACCCCGGGGGAGCTGGCAGCTCTCACGAGAGCGCGGGCAGGGGCAGGAGTCAGGGGCGGCCAGGCTCCCACATTGGGCAGCCCCGGGGGAGAGCCAGCAGCCACAGCGGGCAAACAGGCCACGGTGCCTCAGCTGGGGCATGGCACAGCAATGTGCGTGGCAGCTTACATGGAAGGGCACGCAGGGAGGGCGTCTCTTGCAAGGAGGGGCATTCCACTGGCCGGCTGGGGAGGCTCCAGGTTGTCATAACCCAGCAACAGGGCAGCGTTTTGTGACCCTAGCCAGCCCTCAGGGCAGGATGGCGGGCACTCGGCTGAGAGCCAAGGCTGCAGCTCCGGCTGGGGGTCCGCCCCATCTGCCCCATCAGCGGCCGATGCCTCCACCCAGACCGAGCTGCTGGAGGGAGAGGCTGCGGTGCAGGTCGCGGGCTGCAGGGAGTGCCCAGACCTTTCTGCTAGGGCAGGGAGAAGCAGCAGAGCTGCTTGCAAAAGGAGTGCCTGGAGGGGACCTCCTGCAGCCCGCGGGCTGAGGTGCAGGAGGTGGTGAGAAGGCTGCGTAGCATCGGAGAGGCTGAGCGGGAGTTGGATAGCTGGTTCCAAGCGCAGTCTGCAGTGGACCCACAGCCCACGGCCACACAGCCAAAAACTCCCCCACACGAGGGAGGGGGCAATACTGCAGCAGAATGGAAGCTTGGAATGGCAAGGACCTGCAGGAGGAGGAGGCTTCCCTCAGAACCTGAGGTGACCTTGCAGAAACGCTTCACCACTTTGCAGACTGAAGAAGGGCCTGTCACATCAGGAGAGATGCTGGAGCTAAGGCAATCCGGTGTGCTCCTCGTGTAACAACCAGAGCAACTAAGAAATGGCAAAGGGTGATAGCTGTAGGCAACTCTCCCCTGAGAGGTACAGGGGCACCATCTGCCCACCTGACACACTCTCTGGAGACGGGTGCTGCTTACTGGGGGCCCGTGTCAGGGATGTCACCAAGAGGCTGCCGAGCCTCGTGAAGTCCAGTGACATCCACTGCTGGTGTTTCACACGGGCAGCAGCGATACAGCCAGGAGCAGTCTGAGGAGTAGCAAAATGGATTACAGAGCCCCCGGAGCAGCAGTAAGGGACTGAAGGGCGGGTAGATTTTTCATCAGTCCTCCCGGTCAAATGGAAGGGGTCTGAAAGGACCAGTCAAATCTGGCAGATCAACAGTTGGTTACGGGACTGATGCCACAGCTACTGAGGCCATAGGACTCGCTGTGAGAAACCTGGTCTGCTGGGGGCTGACAGGGTCAGAGAAGGGGAAGAGCATCTTCAGCCATAGGCTTGCCAAACTGATAGGGAGGGATTTAAATGAAAGTTGCCAGGGGAAGGGAACTTTAGTCCATCCCACTCCTACCAGCTTGATGCCAGCGCCAGCAATAGATGCTCCAAGCCTGGAGAGGGGTCGCAGGGCAGCAGGAGAGCACCTGAGGAGCAGCACAAAGGAATTCCAGCCAGTAAGTCAGCTTCATGGCAGGGGCCGACTTGAATGGCTCTGTGCAAACGTGCATAGCACGGGGAATAAACATGAGGAGCTAGAGGTGTGTGCGTGCCTGCAGTATGGCTCCTGTTGGAATGGAAGGACATGGAGCTCTTTAGGAAGGACAGGCAGGGGAGATGAGGAGAGGGAGGGGTTCCCTCTATGTCAGTGACCAGCTGGAGTGCAGGGAGCTCTGCCTGGGGATGGGTAAAGAGCCGACCGAGCGCTTATGGGTCAGGATTAAAGGGAGGGCAGGGACAGGAGACATTATAGCAGGGGTCTGCTACAGGCCACCCCACCAGGAAGACCGAGCAGATGAGGCCATTGATAGACAGGAGCAGTCTGACATTCCCAAGCCCTGGTCCTCATGGGGGACTTCAACCACCCCGGTATCTGTTGGAGGGACAACACAGCAGGGCACAAGCAGTTCAGGAGGTGCCTGGAATGACTCGATGATTGATAACTTCCCTCTCCAAGTGACAAAGGAGCCAACGAGGATGGGGGCCATGCTGGACCTTGTTCTCACCAACAAGGAGGGGCTGGTGAGGAGTGTGAAGCTCAAGGGCAGCCTTGGCTGCAGTGACCAGGAAATGGTGGGGTTCAAGAGCCTTTTGGCAGCGAGGAGGGCGTGCAGCAAGCTCTCTACCCTGGACTTCAGGGATAGGGAATCTTCATCGGGGGCACAGGGATACGACAAGAGGTAACAGTTTTAAGCTGACAGAGGGTAGATTTAGTTTAGATACAAGGAAGCAATTCTTCCCTGTGCGGGGGGTGAGGTGCTGGCCCAGGGTGCCCAGAGCAGCTGTGGCTGCCCCCTCCCTGGAAGGGTTCAAGGCCGGGTTGGACGGGGCTGGGAGCCCCCTGGGCTGGGGGAAGGGGGCCCTGCCCGGGGCAGGGGGGTTGGGACTAGACGGTCTTTAAGGTTCCTTCCAACCCAAACCGTTCTATGATTCTATGAAGTGGTTTCTTCTTTCAGACCTCTGGGCTGTGGGGGCTCAGCCTTTCTGTAGCTTTCAGGCAAGCTATAAAATGTGGCCAGTTGCAGGGATCATCAGAGACCTAAAACCCCTTTCCAAAACTAAGAAAATTTTACTATTGCAACCTACTAGATCATCCCTGCCAAACAGTTATGGGTATTTCTCACCTCCATTCTTCTGTTACCTAGTGCCGCAATGACAACTTATGCTTTACCATCTTCTGCCCAAAACACCTTGTAGTCTTTAAGCAGATTATTTCAATGTGATTTACAGAAACACAGAAATATTGAATGGATCTACAGCTCAGGACTGCTTACTCTCCAAAAACAAATGAGAGGAGGAGCTGCCACGGTTCTGTAGGGGCAGGACAAGTCAGTTCACTAGGCTCCAGGAGTCAGGCTGCAACAGCAAATCCCAGGTACTCCCCTCAGGGAACCTGGGCAACGAGGCTGCACTCAGTAGGGCAGTAGCGAAGAACGTGGCAGGGCTCATACCGGGCGAGATGCAAAATTTTTATTCCAGTTCTGAATTGGAAAAAACATCACCTCCACAGCTCACCATCTGACAGTTCAGTCAGAACAGGGAGAGGTCACGCTTGCTCAGCGGAGGCACAGACTTAGAGGACACAGTCCTGTAGGCACTTGGAGAGGAAGCTCAGCTTCAAAGTACAAACACTGAACAGTTTGGCTTAAATTTTTAATATAAAAACTCACTAAAAATGCTAAAATGTGACAAACCATTGGAAATACTGTGACAAACATTCGCCCTTACGCAGTAAAAAACAAAACAAACCCAAACTGGCAAGAAGCTTTGAAATGCATGTTTTCTTCTTCCTCCCGGCGCATCGGACCGTCATCTACCAAAAACATTCATCTAAAAAATCCATGGCACCTTCACCTCGTACTTCAGTGCATGAGGCTACTCTCGATGGACCAGCACAAATAAACCCAGTAAAAAGAGGACCGCGTACTGCAAGAGAAAGAAGAAGACGACACAAGAGCGCACATTCACATCTAAAGATGCAGGAACAGCAGCATGCATACAGGGCAAACAGTTCTGCCTGTGCCTCTGTGGTTTTCGTGAAATAATTTTAGCTGGGGTGGGAGAAGCAGGCAGAAAAGGAAAAAGCTCTTACCTTAAATTTTGGATAATCATTCATTAAGATAGTCACTATTCCAATGTAGGGCACAAATCTACAAGAATAAAGGTATTTATTAAAACAAACAGCACTGAAGGGTGCACGGGGGAGAAGTGCTGCCCTGGCACTTGTACATAGGAAGAGTCACTCGAGCTTGTCGAGAGCCATGGTCAGCAGGCTCGGGCCTTCCTCCTCCCCAGCAGGGAAGCCACCGCAGTGGGGGCTGAGTGACAACCAGCCCCAGAGCGTGTTTTAGCCTCTGCCTCGTTCAGACCTCGCGTGCCTGCAAAGACTCTGCCTTGCATAGTAATTTTGATGATCACACCTAAGCGTGCACTGCTTTCGCACTGGTGGGTGCAGCTCACAGTGTGATACTTTCGCTTAAGCCAAGTTAAGGACTGAACTACCTTTGGTTTTTAACTCTCCACAGTAGCTTCTGAGATGCTTTCAGACGGGTCACAAAAACCCAGCAGGTAGAGTTCAAGAGGAGGGGAGGATTAACAGATGGCATTGGGGGAGGGCAGTGTAAAAAGCCACGTATCTTTTTCAACTTCACTTACCCTCTTGCTCGTCCTACTACGTCCTTTTTCTCCAACCAGTGCTGTCCTCGTTTGTACAGCCCTCTGTCATCAACGGCGTTATTGTCTCCCTTTGTCAAAAATTTGATGTCACCGTTTTGCCTAGCAAAGACAAGTCAGCCAGGTAAGTTGGAGTAAAAGAACTTATTAAAAGCTGATCTAGAAAAAGCATGTAGAGACTAACACAAAGATATTAGAAGCCATCGTGTCCTACGTGTTCAAGCAGGATGAAAAAGGGAAACCCTGTCAAATGCAGTGGAAAGCAGAGAGTTTGGGAAAAAACTGCCAACAAAAGAATGAATTCTGGCCCTAGACAAGCTTTCCAGCAGAATTTAAGAACAGAACCAGCAGGATGAGCCACCTCTAGCAAAGGTACAGCTACTACCTCTTTGCTTTTGACCTCTCTCATGTTGATGCTTCTCTTGCTTCATACACAAATGTTTTGGGCTCCATCCTACCACCAAAATGAGACTTTGGGGTTAAAGCATACAGTTCTACTCAGTAGTGGTCAGAAGCAAGCTGGAGCTTAGAAATTATAAGGAAAGGGGGACAGAACAAAACAAACAATACCATTACAATACTGCATGAACTCACGATGTGCCTACATCTTGAATGCTCTGTGCAGTTCTGAACTCCCTATATCCTTTTTTGAAATGGAGAGAAGCAGTGGCAAAGGTTCAGAAATGGATAACAAGGTCTGGAACCACTTCCATACAAGAAACAACAGACCAGGACTCTTCAGCCTGGAAAAGACAGAACTGATGGGAGGTATGACGGTAGTTCAATACAAATGACACAGACAGCAACAATCAAACAGCTTTTCACTGCTTCTTCCAATACAAGACCCAGAGGGCATCAAAGGAAACTCAGAGGTAACAGGTTAAGACAAGACAGAGAAGGTGCTATGCAGAACTAACAACAGTGCAAACTAAACCGCGCCTCTCTGGAATGCTATTTTGGAAGCCAAAAAATTCTATCAGTTCAAAAGTGACCAGATACTCCATGTAAAAAACAAAAGGAGGCTATTAATAAAGAGCTGTGACTCTGTGCTCGAAATTGTAATTTGCAGAAAACGGGAAAAGAATTGCTACATACTCCCCCCTTGTCTTTAATTTGTCCTTAGATGAATTAGTTAGATTGCCAGAAACAGGATCCTGGAGCTGATCAACTTTTGCTATGACCTGGAAACAGCTGCTGCTATGCTCTAGCGTTACACACCACGTTATGCATCCTTTCCCAGTCATTTCCATTCAGCTTGCTGGACAGTCAGCAATGCTTGCTTACAAGCAGCAGTTTGTGCCACTGCTCCGGGACTGGTCGGCCACTGTCACCTCCCTGTGACATGTGAAGGCAGATACTGAGCAGGAGAGTGCTCGCTGCTTGATTCTGTCGGCTTACGCTCAGAAATGATGGCTCAAATGCAACATGGGCAAGCATGCAGGAGCTCTTCAGAGCTCGTGCTGTTTCCATCATGCCTGAACACCAACGTGTGTTACCTGACAAGAGAAGTTTGGAAGAAAAAAAAAGGGGGAAAAAAAAAAAAAAAAGAACAGATCTTTCTTCAAAGCACATTCGGCTCACAGTGTGGGAACAGCAAACAATCTAGGAGCTTAGAGATACAGTCTGGAAAAAGATGAAGATGCCCAAAGGTGCAGATAATGTAGTTTCAACTCTGAAGACCGATGGTGTAGGAGGATACCATCTTATTGAGCAGATTCAATGCTCTATCATGAACCAGCGCGAGAAGCCCACAGCACAGTTCCTCTGCTGTCTGAAAGGTGAATGAAATCTGGTCTGGCTGTCCTGCATCAAAACCACTAAGTAAATTTTGACCACAGACTCCGTGTTTAGTGATAAAGAATGAACTCAATTTCACTCTGAACAAAGAAGAAAAAGGCTAGCAAGTAAAAAACATCTTCTCACTGGAACAATACTGATGTGAACTGGACCCCAAGTTGACACAAAATCAAGGAGAACAACGTTTCTGTTTTCCTTCATTTTGACACTCCTGTCAGCTTTCGCAGAGACTTTTCACAGTTTTCATATGCAGTCCGTAACTACAGGAAGAAATGGGAAACTCACTCCAGCCATTAGGAAGACACTCTCGAATTCCAAACTGGCACCAGAAAAATATTCTTTAAATAGTGAAAGAAGCAACTGATACCCGAGCCCCGCCTTCAGCATACAGCTGCAGGTCACAATATAGATTCTTCAATTTTATCTTTCCTAACATAAGCATCTGGTTTAATGAAACCTAAAATACTGGAGAATGGCTTTACTTCACAGAATCTAGGGTTGGCACTATGGTCCTGTTACATTAAAAAAAAAAAAAAAAAAAAAAAAGCACTGGATACCTTAATACCTAGTGCTGAAATAAAACCAAGCAAAAAAAGAAGGGTGGGTAACATCTGGAGATGAACTGCCACACAGAATGAACACTTCTGCTTCTCCTTCCCGTACACTGCCTTAGAGCAAAGAGAGAAGACCCTGACCTTTCTTGCCTCTTTAATAATCAGCCCAAGCAGCAGTACTAGAGCCCAGCTGAGCCTTCAGCATGCAACAGGGGAAAAGGAAAGTAGCGTTTCACTCAAAAGAATTCCCAAGACATCACAAAAAGTGCGCGTGCAAAGTTAGATATCAAATTTACCAGGTATACTGATCTTATTTTTAATTTAGTGGCATCAAAGAACAGTACTTTGAAAACCAGCACTGTTAAAAGTTTTGGGTATGGCATACATCTGAACAGCAAAGAATCTGCTCTGTCTACTGGGAGAGGTGCCACGCTCTCACAGCCAGGATCTCAGCTGGACTATTTATGTGCACGAAGCTGGTCCACCTTGATGTTGGGCCAGACAAACAGTCTAGGTGTCCCAATGGCTGTGGCTGCTACGAATGCCTGGGGGAAGAGAGCCTCTCTATCCCACTGACCTCACTTGACTAGAGCAATCCACCAGTGCTACCTTTACACACGATTCAAGTGACTCACTTAACCTAGGAACAGATCCCTGGGCACTGGTCTAGCTCCAGTTCATTCATATTGCAGCAGGCATTTACTCAGCAGAAACAGATGCTGGGACCCCATCCAAATGTTGCTCTCTCAGGGCTGGCTTGAAGAACCAGCAGTTCAGTCTGAGATTTAGTTTTCACTCAAAGGCCTCACAGGGCTGGCTTGTATCCCCACAGACTGGCCTGGAGCAGTCACAGTTCCATCCAGCAAAACAGAAAGGCTCAGGGCTGCAGAGAAAGCCTTGCTTGGAAAACTAAGCCCTGTTCAGCAACAAAACCAGCGTGACAGAGCTTCGTTCCTTCAGACACGCAACCTGCTAAGTGTTTAGAGCATGAACAGCACACAGAGAGCGCAGTGCATACAGAGACTCCAAGTATAACAACACAAAACTTCCTACAGAGAAGAAAAGAAACACCCTGCCTCTGCACAAGTGCAGGAACCAGGACCATAAAGACAAGCTTTAAAATAATGCACGCTACTCACAAAACACCCTTCTTCCGTAAGTTCTGCCTTCACAAACAAGATTCATTTCACACACACAGATGCAGCCATACCCAAAGACAACACAGCAACCTTACGTAGCAGCGTGGGATGGAAATGATGGCACAGGAGACATTAAGTGGCGTGGGGAGTCCAGGATACTGGCACAGACTACTCCCCAGCTTGTGCGTTCTGATGAACGATGTTTACAAGCCGACCGAGGAGGGCAGACTTTGCCTGCCTGAAATTTCCATGTTACTGCCTACAACATCTGGATATCTGTTACTGACATGCCACTCATTCGTTTACCCAAGGAGATGAGGAAAAATACCCTTTAGCTAAACATCTGCAGTACAACCCCTCAAATTCAGGACATACTTCTCATGAATCTTCAGGACGCGATGAACTATAGGAATTTCCCTTCCTTCTATCCTAAAGACCACAATTTCTCCCACTCTGATTGGATCTTCAATTCGGTTTGTGAGGAACAGGAGATCTCCTCTGTGAAACGCAGGCTCCATACTCCCACTGAAAAAGAGAAGAGGAGCAATTGAACAATATTTAAACACTCAGAATCAGGTTTTGGAGTTTATAGTCCTTTACGAAAAATCTCACAAGAACCTCAACGAAGAGCCTCTATGAAAACCACCTTGGAGACCAGGCAGGAGTCTAACCTCTATTACAATCAGTTTTTCAATCACCACACTGCCAGCGGTTTAGATTTGTTGGGAAAAGAGTACTGCCAGCAGCCAGTGTTAAAAGCACAACAAATGTGAAGTCTTCTGCTTTCTCAATAACAACAAAGCAGACAACAAGCAGTATCTTCTCGACTTCCAAGCTCTACATTGGTAGGGCTACACTGGCAACACTGCAGTGGTGTGAACTTGTTTTTTTTTTTTATTTTATTTGGTTTTGTTTTTTGCAGGTAGATTGATCATCCTCGCAAACAAAGCACTGAAAACATACGGGCTCTTATATTCCCATCTGGAACAGACAGACGGGCGTGCTAAAAATTGGTTATTGTGATTCATCACTTTGCTTAATGATCTAATTTCAGGACCTGCTATTCAAGTTATTCTTCTCCTGTCTTATAAATGGCAATTGTTACTAAATACTTAACCTTCTTAATTCCAAATAAATAATGCAGTACAAAACAAAAGGATGAACTTTAAGTACCGGATATATTCATGTTTTATCTCAAAACAGCACAGACGCCGCTATTCAGAACAGAAGATCACATTGCTGAAGAAGGGACGTGACCTAATGGCCCCCTGTCTTACTCACTGGGAGGAACAGCGTGAAACATCTCGCCCGTACTTCACAGACCCGTCAGGAGGGAGTTTGTTAAATGGCATGCGGTAGTCTGAAAGGCCAACGCAGCCACAGAACAAACTCCTGTGCAATATCCACGCCAGCATCCGACAGCTGCCCAAGAACTTCAGCCACAGGAGTCAGCACCGGGCAGCTGGGGGGTGGGAGTAACGCTGGTGCGCAGCACTTCTGCGAGGGCAGCGTGCAACACGAAAACATACCCGGTTACAGAGTGATAATCCTTACACAAAAGGGTACAGCTAAGGCTCCCCTCTTCCTGGCCACATCACAGCTCACTAGAAGGCCAGGAGCAAACAACACAGCTGGAAAAGAAGAGTTAGTGGATGCTCTGAAGGATGCAACGTAACACATAATAAAGCTCACCGGGCGTTTCAGCACACCAGCTCCCCTTTAAAAGCCCCAACAACTCCTTTTCACTACAGGAGCTTATTCCCTGGCATTTCAAAGATTTCAACTCCCTTTTCACTGACCAAGACTCCCTTCATACTTCAACTATTTATGTGGTGGCAGGAAGGCACGCGGACGGGCACGGCGGGAGGCACCAGCGCGCTGCGACGTTCTGGCACCACAACTGCTGCTACAGGGAGGGCTGCTCGCCTTGCTCAGAGGACGAGCTCTGCCACAGACATTGCTTTCCTACGGGGATGGTGTCCCCCCCAGGCAACGGGTTCATCACCCCCTGCTTCACGTCCCCCTCACCCCCACAGCCGTGCAGTTCTCGGGGAGGTTTGGTACGATCCAGAAGCGCCTCTCACCACGTTTCTTTGCAGCCCTTCCTCTGCTTTCCCCTTAGGCCCGCTCCTCTAACGTACAACCCGGCCAGCTGACAGAAGCAGAAGGGCGAGATGCTATTTTTATATATTTTGACATGCTGCCCCTTCTCTCGCTGTCCCCCGCTGGGGCTGGGCCAGGCGCCTCCAGTCGCCCCATCCCTCTGGAAATCCTCCTCCTCCGCCGGCCGGGCCCGTGGCTCTCCGGCCCTTTACCCACGCCCCGTGGGGCTCCTGCTGAACGAGCCTCCGCCCCGACAACACCCACACCCGTGGGATCTACCTCAGCACCACCACGATGGGGCTCTCGCTGCCCGTCACCACCATCAGCCCCTTCCAGATCATGAGGGCGGAGGAGACGATCATGCCGAAGTTCAGCACCTGGTAGTACAGCTGGGGGGGGGGGGGAAGGGAAAAAGGGGGGGTCGGTCAGGCCCCGCGGCCCGAAGCCGGGCACGGCAGCCCCGCCCCGCCCCGGTTTGGCACCTGCCGCTTGTTCATCCGCCGCACATCGTCCAGAAAATCCAGCGACAGCATCGCCGGCCCCACCGCGGCGGCCCCACCGCCCGCCCGGCCCCGCCGCCGCTTCCCGCCCCGCTTCCGCTTCCGCCCGCGTCACCGCCGCTTCCGGCCCTGGCCCCGCCCCGCGGGGCGGCCATGGCGGCCCGAGCCAAGAACGACGCCCAGGCAGGCACCCTTGGATGCTTTTATTTGCAATACTTTGAAGTAAACATCATAGCAAGGCACAAACGCCGCTGCGGGTTAAATAGATACGTGATGGCTCGGGAGTGCCCCCTGCTATCCTTAACTCTACGTAGGCTACCTGGTAAAACATCCCCTAGGCTAACGTACACCGTATCAAAAAATACAAAGAGTCCAAACTGTTCGTATCAAAACACGCCGAGACAAGAACGTGAGCGGTCCGAATGCAATAAGATAAATAGTTCTTAAATTATTTAAACATTGTCATAGTAAACAATAATGAGCAGGGGGTCTGGCTCAACATAATAAAAAATAATGGTATAGGAGATAATTATATTACACGAAGCACGTATGCGACGGGGGAACGGGCGAGGAAGGGGAGAGTCAATAGGACCACCGGGGAAGCGCACGCCGCGGGCACGGCAGGCCCCGAGGGGCACCGGGCCCCACCTCACGTGGCGCGGGCTACGCAGTTCTCCCTCGGGACGGTTCGGGTCCGAGACATCCCGTTAAATCGCCTTTTGGAAAATAAGGTGGTTATCTGGGCAACGAAAAGAAAAACCGGCGCGGCTTACAGCGTGAACCCGCCCCGCGTAACACAGAAGATCCCGGATCGGCCAGCGCGGTCCTGACAAGCGTGTTTTGCTGAGACAGCGTTACGAGTTAAAATGAGTAAAACAAAGGCAGGATGGGAAGAGAAAAAAGAAGCCATAAATAGAAGGAGAAAGAAAGCAAGGTAGGGAAGGCAAGGCTGGGGCTCTGGGCAGAGGCTGAGGCAGTGCACACTCAAAGGAAGAGAGCTCATCTTAAGGAAACTGCAGCTGCAGAAAGTGCTCCTTGATCCTCAGGAGTTGGACAAGCTCCAGCGAGGATTTTCGCCCTGCTTTCCCTTTTCACCTCCCTGGTCTGGCAGAGAGTTAGTGCTTAGGATGCAATGGCAGGGTTTTTGTTTTGTTTTGTTTTGCTTTTTTTTTCTCTTTTTTAAATTTCCCTTACAAATAGAAGTTAACGGAAAGCAATGTCCATCCCAAAAAATCAACAGAATATTTCAAAGATTCGCCCCATCCCCACCCTGTATTTTGAGTAAAAACCCCCCAACAAAAAAACCCCAACCAACCAACCAAAAGGGGTTTTCTGGTTTTAAGTCTTAAGAGACTTCGAATGATTGTTCTGCGAGGTGCTACTGGGACCCTCCACGCCACACGTCTGAGTGTGTTCACAAAGAGCTGAGTCACTTTTGCCCTCTTTGCATTTCAGATTTTCTTCTTCCGCTGTAGTGTTCATCTCGCCATTGTACCCCTCGTGTCCGTTCTCACTCATCTCTCTTTGTAACTTCTGCCCTTCGTTTTCCTCCTCCTCCTCCTCCTCTTCCTCCTCTTCTTCCTCCTCCTCCTCCTCCTCCTCCTCCTCCTCATCTTTTACTTTATGAACAATGAAGAGGTGTCTGTTCAGAGAGATATGAGAGGTGTAGCACAAACCACAGAACAAGCACTGGTAGGTGGAGCTGTCTGTCTTGTGCCGAGGTATGTGTTCCTGAAACTCAGTACTGATGTCTGTCGCAAAGCCGCATTTAGCGCATTTCCAATGCGCTTTCAGTCTTTTGGCTGGCGGCGTGTCTGAACCCGTAGCGGTCTCTGCCTGACCCAGCTCATCCGTTGCCATCCTCTTTGGAGATTTTGCCTTAAAAAAAAATAAGATTAAAAAGTTACTTTATTGTTCGAGGCCATTGAAGAATAAGTGCTAAATCCCACACGCCTATCTGATTGCCTCAGGGCGAATACACATTGTTATTTTGATACAAACTAAACGAAGCCATGCCTAGGCACTCCTGTGGCATTGCCTTTCCTACCAGTACCCAAACACCTCACCGCAGCATGGGGGATCTCAACTGCCATCCTGTGATGGGAGATGGGAGCGGTTGGCTGAGCAGAAACGTGATGGGGAGAGGATTTGAACTTGCTATGGGAAGGAGCGCACAGAGCAGGGAGAGCAGAGCGACGTGGGGACGGTCATTAGCCCAGACAATGCTGCTCAGATTTAACTCTGAACATTTCCCCCTCCACTCAGGCTTTTTCTTCATGGCGTCTCTTGTTAACTCATCCCCTCTGTTTTACAATCCCGCAGCGTGCTTCTCCTCCCATGAGGATGGCTCACTTGCATTACGTCCCTTCACGTGATTTTGTTATCTCCTTATCCAGCAGCACTGAGTGGTCGTGGTTTAGGACAGAACTTCCAGGCTTGTATTTGCAGATGTGAGCCACGTGAAGCCACCATCTAAGCCCATTTAGCCAGGTGCCCTGGTACGTCAGCTCTGCTTGGGGGAAGCAGCCACCAGCTCATGGAATTGAATTTTTGAGTTACCCCAGGTTTCCTTATGGCATAAATACAAAGGGGGAGTCAGTCTTGCCTGCAATCCCTCAATGCTAGGGTACAGACGAATGATAAATTGAAGTGATACAGCAAATGTACATCTATTTTTAAAGTAAATGGAGCAAAGAATTCCAGTCAGCCAACCCTCCGCTCCAAACCAACCTGAAATAAAATTAGTTGGATGGTTACATTTGCTGAGAACAATTACACAGTCCTACTGAGGAGGAATACAGTTCTCACAGGTAATGGATCTAGTAAGTATTTTAAAACTGAAATGAAATCTTTTCTAACTAGCAGAAAAAACAAGGGAGAAAGAGGAGAAATGTACCAGGCCCATGAACAGAGTGGCAAGGGAAAGCAAGGGTAGCGACAAACCTAAATTAGACCCGGTGACAAAGTAAGACTAAAAAAAGGTCAGTAAAACACCGGGCCACACGTTCAGGAGTATCTTGAAAAATGCAAGATACGCAGCCCTGGTGCTGCTGCAGCTCAGCTGTGCTCTCAGTTCTGATCCTAACACTGCCAGAGAGAACCAAACTGGATGGAGTTGAGGGGAGGGGATGGAAATATGCCATATGGGTGAGAGGGCTTGACTGCTGTAAGGCTGCGGCTCGACATAACACCCCAAGTGAACAGCTACTCGCCAGGTACTTTTATTTTTCAATGAAAATATATCAGTTACTTCTGCTGTGTCTCTCTCTGGAGCTTTTGCTTTGGCCATCTGGGTCAAGTCTGGGTTTTTGATGCCGTGCATGAGGCTGATGTGATTCTCCAGCATGAACGGCTGAGGAAATGTCTGATTTTCATCTGTGCAGTACCTTGGAAATAAAAAAAGGAAAAGAAATTCTTAGAGGAAATGCCCAGCTGTTTGTTTCCATCCAAACAGCTCTTCGTTATGTGCCAAACCAATAGGTGTAATTGGAGACAGACACTGGTGAGTAATGTACTATTAGATTACCAAAATACACAGCAAATTATCATTTTAATAATAAAGCATTACCCCCAAGAGAAATCTAGAACAGTTTAGAATTTACCGCAGTAAGCAGGAATGAGAAAGTAGGGCATGTCTTATTTACAGTACAGTACTAAATAAATACAGGGACTAGTGGAGCTCAGGCCCACTGTGATACATACTACACAAGTGCAAGATAAATAATCAAGGTGGAAAACACATGGGAGAAAAATGACTCTCGGATGAGAGACCTACGCACAGAGGGACCTCAGGACTTGCGCAACACCGAGGAGGCCTGCAGCAGAACTGGGTTCTGCACCCAGTGTTCCCAAGCACCAGTGCAGCATCACATTCACAAGACTCTGTCTATTGTAACACACTTAAAATTCTTACTAAAATGCTGAACTTCCAACCTTAATAACAATCACCCAGGCAGAAGCACTCACGAACGCATCATTTGCATGTAACTCTTCCCATTAAAACTTGGTAGGGTTCAAGAGCTGCCGGAGAGCACGGCTGACATTTCAAAAGGAGATGTGAAGGGGATGTGCCATCTGTTAACCTTCGCTCCTGGGTGACTGGAAATAAGTGCCGGGTCTTGCAGACACATAAACCACCCCCCTGCAGCGCGGTGAGGCGCAGAGAGGTCTCCATTAGGAATTGGGAAACTCGGGATTGACTGCACTCTTCTGCTGCCTGCCAGCACGACACAAGGAAGGTCCATCAGCTACACATCGACCCAAGCAACGAGGCGAGTAACACTGGACTTCTCTGAAACGCACAAATTGCAGCTGAAATGTAGGCAGTGAGGGATAAAAGGGAACAGAGAGGAGCTGGAGTGTCTCTGGGCAACAAAGACATCTCTTAAAAGGAGAGAAGAAGATTCCTACTGATCTTCCAGTAACTAGATGGAAATTAAACAGTCAGTAATGATGTGAAAATGCAGACATACTCACTGAATACTTCTGGTTTTTAACAGGAACTGCTTAGATGATAAATCAATATTTAATAATGATGGAATTTTTCTCCCTCATGGAGGAAAGATGAGAGGTTATTAAGTGGCATTTATCAAAAGTAAATGTGTTGAAAATCAAGTGTTCCAGACAGTTTATACTTAAGAGTTGGAAAATAAGAGCAAGTTCTCCTAACAATAGCCAAGTGACTTATGAAAGAAAATACACAAAACATCAAAATATTTTGCAATTTATCCTAATTTAGAATTCTTTTCATGTGAGCAGGGAAGGATGATTTCCTAACCTGAACTACTCCAATGACAAGCTTGGCAGGAGGGTGTTCAAGCAAGTCCTCCATCACTGGTTTCTCCCTACAAATTTAACAGAAAGCAGAGACCTAAGCAGGGCAGGGGGAGAAGGGAAAATCACAGCTTGAAACATCAGAAACCAGAGGGAGGTCACCTACAAGACTGCATGCTGGAGTCACAAAAATACTCAATTGTCGGTTCAATGACAAACTTTAAACATGCTTCACATGGAAATCCAGGAGAAGAGGGTGAGACAAAGTTAAAGCGTCAAACCCCTGAAGGGAATAACACGCGAGACTGATACAAACTGCCTG